CACACACACACACACACACACACACACACACACACACACACACAGACCCAGAATTTGCAACCCTTTTAAAACTTTGTGACCTGAATATATTTCCAGCCTTATGTTTTCTTGGTCGTGGCACTATAAGCTGACATTTTGCTGTAGTCAGCACAAAATGATGGATGTCAAAACACAGACGATGCATTATGCATTTGGCATTACAGATTTAAGGTGTTTACTTGTCACTTTGAGAAAATGCAAAAATGTGAAGTCATGTGAATTCATACTCCTGTCACTTGCACTTGTATTTCATGATTCCGCGCCGCGCCGTAAAAGGTTTTCAGGATACACTTCGCCAATTTTATCGTAACAAAATGAACATCTAAAATTTATGTCTGCTTGTTGATGGAGGGATGTGAATGCTAAATTTGTCTGAGCTGACCCCTAAAAGCACACTAACTGTATGGCACTTTTTTTGTCTGTTGATGCCTTGTTTCACTTAAACCTCTTCTTTCAGTAGTTTTATTTATTTATTTTTTTTGTCAATTCATTTCTTGAAGTGTTCAGAAAGTATATTGAGCATCAGAAACTTCATGTTGAGTGAGCTGACGCGAGCACTGTGTATAACAGTAGTGATACTGGGTTTCAGGTCATTCTGATGCTGTGATACTTATGTGGTAAATCATACTCAGCTGATGGCCACATTTTGCTTTACAGCACAACAGAAAAGCAGAATTTTACTAAGCAAAAACCCAGTCACTAAATAAAAGAAAGTTCTTATAGTAATGTTATATAATGTTTTTGCTGTTCAAAAATTGTGATACAACTTTTGTTTGAATAATTCAGTTAAAGTTTAGACTGAAATTAGGTTTTGTTTGTTTATTTACAATATACCAGATAGGAAAAAAACATTTATGTGGAACAGCAAGCAATATTTTTATAGGGTACTTTTGGAACAAGGCTGCAATATGAAACCAAAAAGCAAAGCTTTCCAGCTCCTCTGATTATTTAGTCTTTGGACCTGAAAGTTGGTATTAACCCTCTACTCCCTCCCTGAAAAACAAACAGTACTGTTTCATTTGGAAAATCACAGTCTATTAAAATAAAATGTTTTGTAAACAAATAACATACAGTTTTAAACTTTTTATTGCAATGTATGTGCAGGAGTTTTACGTCTTACATCCTTCTCATAACTTAGTTATGAGGAATTGAGAGTTCTTTAATACAGATACTAATTCTTTTTCTGTGTAATCATCAGGAATTAAACCAATGAGTAATGTAGTCAGTGAAGTTTTATCTAAAATAAATTGATATTGTGCGCCCTGGGGGCCCGGACCTCTGTGCCCTTTCCTGGATCTGCTCTGGTATGGCGGGTGCCGGTGGGGCCCATGAGTTTGTCGCTGCTGGCCCCGGGGGCTGTGCGTGTGGTCGCTGGGGGGACTCTCCCAGTTCTCCCCTATGGTCTGATCTGGGGGGTGGGAGGGCGGATCTTCCCGTGTGGGTGCCCCTTGAGGCTCTGCGCTCGGGATTCCTCTCGGGCCCTTGGGCTCTGGTCTTCCCTATGTCTGCCTCGTGTCTTGGGGGTTGGGTCTCCTGTCCTCCACAGTCACTATTAAATATTCCACTGGAGAAATCTTGTATATGTTCATGTTCACAGCTGCTCACAGACAGGTGCTCTGATCCGGGGGGTTCTGACTGTCAGTGAGTGTGCATATACAGGTGCTGGTCATAAAATTAGAATATCATGAAAAAGTAGATTTTTTTCAGTAATTCCATTTAAAAAGTGAAACTTGTATATTATATTCATACGTACATTACATACAAACTCATATATTTCAAATGTTTATTTTGTTTAAGTTTGATGA